CCCTCTCTCTCTCTCTCTCTCCTCCCCCCTCTCTCTCTCTCCTCTCTCTCTTGGACAATTATCGGTACTTGTATCCGTGAGGACTTGGGCAAGTATCGGTACTTGTATCCGTGAAGACTTGGGCAAGTATCGTTACTTGTATCCGTGAAGACTTGGGCAAGTATCGGTACTTGTATCCGTGAGGACTTGGACAAATATCGGTACTTGTATCTGTGAAGACTTGGGCAAGTATCGGTACTTGTATCTGTGAGGACTTGGGCTCTGTAGGTGAAAGAAATGCATACAGCACAGTATGTGGAAACTCAACGTTTTCTGAATATCCTTGCATCAGTTCGCTAAATAGAATAATTTTTTAGGATGTTTTTAAGACAAGACAAAGTTTCCACTAAAAGAAATCAGCCACACAGTACACCGCAGTTCATTAGTTCATTTTATATTAGGGATGTTCAGATACCAGTGCTGTTGCTTGACATTTTCACAAGAACTACCAGGGTCACAGCAGATGCAGCTGGTAACTAGCTCTTGCTCGCGACCATTGTCCTGAAATCATTAGTCTGTATTGTTTTAGAAAAACTGTCACATGACACTAAGCAAAAATGTATCAGTACTTGTATCTGTGAGTACTTGGACAAGTATCAGTACTTGTACTTGAAAAAAATGGTATTGGTGCATCCCTAATATATGTCTATATAAAACAAAATCGTACATTAAAACAGAGATGTACAAATCCCAGGAGCTCCGTATCCTCCTTACAAATGACAGCTGCCTCCTAACTTTTACATTTTTCTCTAGTCTTGGAGCTGTAAAAGTATTGGTACCGGTACCGAGTACTGTACTTGGTATCTGGACATCCCTACTAGAGATTAATTGGGATTGGGTTGAAGTAATTCCGTTACCAATGTAGAGGTTTGAAAGCGTACATCAGACAATGCAAACTGGGCCTCAGCAGCATGTCTGACTTATAGTGCCATGTACTGGGTCCTGCCAATTCTTACTGCACTGCAGAAAAGGACTTTAAAGGAGCCCTGCAGATATAGCTGATACATGTATTTCACGCCAACATTGGGGCCATACATTTTTCAAGGGGTTTGTTGGGGTAGGATGCTATAGCTTACTGTGTTGTCCTTCAGAATCTCAAGCACACATTCTTTTTCTAGATGATCTGGACATGCTTATGGTCTCCGAGCCATTTACAGGAAGCCACACAGACTGGCTGACATTGAATGTGGGCGGAAGATATTTTACCACTACACGGTAAGAGCGGCATCAAGGGCTGATGCTATTAATACTGTGTTTGAAGGTTGGCCGGGTATTCAGGTGTACCAGTAAAAGACAAATAAAGCAGTACTCTGGGGAAAAGTTGTACTCACTTGATCCTCGGAGTCGGCTGTGACAGTGCTCTATACACAGTGTATAGAACTTTGATGGTTTACAGGACCTTAGACAGCTGCAGCGGAGGGGGAGAGAGGTACCAGGGACCAGTCTAAGAGCAAACCGGCTCGGAAGATAAAGCGAGTATAACTTTTTCTATTTTCTTCCCTAGACACAAACGAGCAGGTAACCCTTGCAGTGTAGGGGTAGCTCCACTGCAAGGGTTAATAATCATTTTCCCTGGAGTTCTTTTTTTAAAGCAAGTTAGAAATACCTCTATACAAAGCAGTTACCCAGTGCAGCCATTTTAGGCCAGTTCACATCCAGCCACTGTCTGGGCAGGTTGGAAAATCTGCCTTGGCCACTGTTGTTCCCACCTGAGATGCGTGGTGCTGAAGACATCTGCCAGCATTGTAGATCTCCTCCTCTATCCCCTCTATATAGCAACAAGCATGACGCTAGGCCGGGCTATGCTGTTTGTGTATCCCAGGGCTGATCCCGGTGCCAAAGGGTGTCCGTACACGCATGCATATCTAAACGCCCTTCAAGTTCTATGGTCCTATAAACTTTAACTGGCCGTCTTAACATTCATAGAATATCACTTAACTCTTTCAATGCTGTGACCCTTGGATATAAGCAGCTTTGCTCAGCCACTCGTATAGTTATACATATTTGGGGAAACTTTATGCTATTATATAAAAATAATCTAACCAGTGTCTGCAGATGTCTCTGCAGATGTGTGTGCTTCTCCCCTCTCTGTCGCTGCTGCCGGCTATCCCGGGCTCTGCTGTGCCTTGTGTGGGCCTGGGTCCAGCTTGGTGGGGCTGTGTACCTGCATTGGAGGGAGCTCAGCACACTTCCAGCGGCTGATCTCCCCTCCAATCACTGAAAGCGGAAGCGATGTGTATTACAGCACTTCCGGTTTCAGGGTGTCATTTCTCCCACTGCTGTGGCCCGAAAAGAAGCTGGTGAAACATGATCTTGGCTTCATCAGCTTCTTTGGGGTCTGTAGGTGACATTAGGGGTCTAGTAGACCCCTGCGGTCTCCTTCAAAGAAGACCTGTCACATCTTCTTTATCACATACGGGGCTTGTTGGCAATAAAGTCAAGTGTGT